AAAGTGGAAACCAACTACAAAATTCCCAAGCAAAATGATGCAAATAGCTATTCCTGTCAAAACAATCTGTGCCCTAACTAGGATAAGTAAAGAAACCTGGAAAAAAATATATATATACTAAGAAGCACAAGGAAACCTAATTCAACCAATGCATAATTGCATACCTTATTAGTGAACAAATATTGTATGGAGGAGTTAAGGTCGCCATCCTTCCAGATTCCAGAATCATCTTCTTCTGTCAGCTTCACTTTCTGCAGTTTCTCTGTTTTCACTACTCCCTTGGAGAAGGTACTCATTTCTGGACACGTGCTTAGAATCACTTCATGCAGAGATGGGAAACTACGGTTGCACTTCCAAGAGCAAAAGCTTTCAAGTCTTGATAAAAGACCAAGTCGCAAAGATGTGAGTTGGGTGAAAACAATTTCATCTTTCACTTCATTACCCTCACATGCCACGATTTCTTCTAACTTTGAACAATCAGTTATGCTCATTGTTGACAGCTGATCGAATCTCTTAGCAATTGTGTAGCTCAATATGGTAACGAGTCCATGGCATCTTGATACTTCTAGAGTCCTTAAATTCACAAAAGAAACTGCAGGCATACCTGTAGTGCTTGATCTGCTACCTTCCTGCTCTTCAAGTACCTGTTGATTCATTTCTTATTTTCTAAATATGTGAAATTAAATGATCCAACAAAACAAACAAATAAATAAACAAAAAGATTCTATTCTTTTTCACAACGCTCCAGCTTTTTCAAGAACAAATCTAAGCCCAATGTTTTCTGTGATCATACCTTATTGACCCAAAATAAGGGGTGTTGTTGAGTCCTGGTTTGGATTTGGTTTTCTCCAGATGGGAATTCCAAAGCAAATATCTGCACTTGGTCACATTCATGCAATTGAATACTTGTTAATTTTGGCCATTCTGTAGCATTCTTAGTTAAAAACCTAGCCAGTTTGGGCAGTATAGAAAACTTCAGGTTTGTCACTTCAGGAAATACAAATAATGTAGTCGGTTGCAGATTTTGTGGTTCAGAGCAGAATCTTGTGAGATCTGGAAGGTCTTTAAGCTCCATAATATTGAGTTTGGGGAACAAAGAGATCCTGTTCTTCTCTGTAAATTCTTCTGTCACTATTACCTCCTCCATCCTCTTACAACCACGTATCACGAGCTCTTTGAGTTGCGAAAAACCTTAAACTGTAGAGAGTGTCATTAGATATTTGAATCTATGACAGTTCTCCATAACCAACAACTCCAAGTTGGGAAACTCAACCTGTAAAGAGAGTTCTTCTTTAATGAGCATTTTTTTTCCTTTTATTCTTCAGCCAAAATAAAATAATAATTTTGAAGAAAGGAGATGAAAAATAATTGAAATTGTTAGGTATCTCGCAGGACTTAATTCGTTATTGTTAGAACTTAGGATAATTTACTCCCCTTATCATTGTATGACTTCAGTCTATTGAATTTTAAATAATTTTTCAGAGATTTTCCTGAGCATATAGCATTCAATCAGTAACATTTAACTTGAAAATGAAGAAAAAAAGAAAAGAAAGGAAAAAAAGAAAAATCTTCAGAAAGAAACTGACCTTAGTGCTGAAAAAGGGTTCAGATGTCTCTTGCTCCTGTTCTCTTGATAAGGTAGAAGCAAATGTAACCATATCTGGGCAGTCAGCTATAGTAATGACCTTTAGCTGTTGGAATATGAACTTACATTCTTCTGCCTCCTCAGCTTGTCTTGTCATGTCTGACTGTTCAAGTTCAAACACCACTTTTACTGAACTACAACCAATTATTTCTAACTCCTGCAGAGATCCCAAGAGTCCTTTGATCATGCCATTGTTACATGGAAAAATGGTTGATAGATTTTGACAATATGAAACTCCCAATGATGTTAAGTTGCAAAAGGAATTTTCAGCAAGATTTTTCCGTATGATCTTCGAGCTTTTCAAGTGGGAGAGAGTCATCCTTTCCACATTAGGAAATACAAACTGCATTGTTCATTGAAGAGTGTTAAAGAAACCAAATATGTATCATAGCATATTAATATTCTGTTTAAGCTCACATTCATTCTCTGTATAATATCCAAGATTGTGATTCACTTGCCTTATGTGGTAGGGTAATACACAGGCTCCAACTGTATATATACTCTTGATATATTCGTAAATAAATATGTTCTTCATACACTTTGATTCTATAGTGGTATCAGAGCCAAAAACCTCTAACGAGTCTCCTCTGTCTTACCAATGGCCAAAACCTCTGGAACTTGCGATAGCACCTCCTCTTCTGGTGCGAATTCTCCAACCCATACTCCTAATACCAGCAACCCGAACTCTGCAGCCATAGACCTCAACCATGCTGCTCGAGGACCCATATCCTTCAACTCCACTGCGTTTCCTCTTAAGCTACCCCCCACCAATTATCCCTCATGGAAGATGCAATTCACGTGTCTTATTGCAGGTTATGACTTACTTGGCTTTCTGGATGGCTCAAATCTGTGTCCTGTGGCTACGGAACCCACCTATGCTCCCTGGGCTTGGCAAGATCAACTCTTACGCCATGCACTCATTACTTCGATTTCAGAGAACATCACACCCTACATTGCTGCGGCACCCACTGCTCAACATGCTTGGGAAACGCTAGCCAACCTCTATGCAAACCGATCGCGTGCTCGAGTGATCACACTAAAGGAGCGACTTCAAAACATGCACCGTGATGGAAGATCTGTCTCTGAATATCTCTGCACTCTAAAAGCGGTGGCAGACGAATTAGGTATGATTGATCGACCCCTTTCTGATGATGATTTAATAGTTTATATTTTGAATGGCCTAGGTCCAGAATTTCGAGAGATTGCAACATCTCTTCGAACGCGAGACACCTCTCTGTCTTTTGATGATCTCCATGATCGATTGGTGGCTCATGAAGAAAGTCTCCGACGGGAAGATACTAAACTGGAATCCACTCCTCTCACTGCCCACCTTGCTAGAGCAGCCACAACACCCTCTTCCTCCGTCGTGAACTCTGCTGGACTGTTGCCCACACCTCACCAAGGTCGGTTCTTCCCTCCACCACATCGGAACTATCGAGGACCCCTGTCCTCCAACAGAACCTTCTTCGGGAATCAACGGCGTGGATCTTTTGGCCTGCCCAACAATCGGCCTACTGCTCAAGCCTGTCAATTGTGCCACAATTCAGGCCATTTTGCCCACAATTGTCCGTTTTACCAGGTTCAACAACACCCTCCGCATGCCAACTTTGCATCCTCTCCCAACATTGCTTCTGAGGATTGGCTCATCGACTCTGGTGCAACTCACCATGTGACCACGGACCTTGCCAATCTCGCCTTGCACTCTGAATAACTTGGCCCTGATGAACTTCAAATTGGGGATGGAACAGGTTTGAAAATCACACATGTGGGAGATACCACATTACCTACCTCTTCAACCTCTTTCTCTTTACGTAATGTTTTATGTGTTCCCTCTGCCTCTAAGAACTTAATCTCTGTTTCTCAATTATGTAAACATACTAATGCCATTGTTGAATTTCACCCTGATTACTTTTTGGTGAAGGATCGAAGCACGGGGGCGACA